TGTGGTGAGTCCAGTTTTCTAGTCAATGGTAACCCCCAGGATGCTGATAGTGGGGGATTCAGTCATAGTAACACCATTGAATGTCAAGGGGCAGTGGTTAGATGGTCTCTTATTGGTGATGGTCATAGCCTGGCATCTGTGCGGCACAACTGTCATTTGCCACTTGTCAGCCCAAGCCTAGATATTGTCCAGATCTTGTTGCATGTGAACATGGACTGCTTCAGTATCTAAGGAGTCACGAATGGTGCTGAACATTGTGCAATCATTAGCGAACATCCCCAATTCTGACCTTATGATGGAGGGAAGGTCATTGATGAAGCAGCTGAAGATGGTTGGGCCTAGGACACTACCCTGAGGAACTCCTGCAGAGATGTCCTGGAGCTGAGATGATTGACCTCCCACAACCATGACCATCTTGCTATGTGTCAGGTATGACTCCAACCACAGAAGAGTTTGCCCCCGATACCCATTGATTCCAGTATTGCCCAGGCTCCTTGATGCAACACTTGGTTGAATGCAGCCTTGATATCAAGGACTGTCACTCTCACCTCACCTCTGGAATTCAGCTCTTTTGTCCATGTTTGAACCAAGGTTGTAATGAGATCAGGAGCTGAGTGGCCCTGGCGGAACCCAAACTGGGCGTCACTGAGCAGGTTATTGCTGAGCAGGTGCTGCTTGATAGCACTGTTGATGACACCCTCCATCACCTTACTGATGATCAAGAGGAGGCTGATGGGGCAATAATTGGCCGGGTTGGATTTGTCCTACTTTTTGTGTACAGAACATACTTGGGCAATTTTCCACATTGTCGGGTAGATACCAGTGCTGTAATTGTACTGCAAGAGCTTGACAAGGGAGCGGCAAGTTCTGGAGCACAAGTCTTCAGTACTATTGCCAGAATGTTGTCAGGGCCGGTAGCCTTTACAGTATCCAGTGTCTCCAACCGTTTCTTGATATCATGAGGAGAGAATCGAATTGGCTGAAGACTGGTATCTGTAATGCTGGGGGCCACTGGAGGAGGCCGAGACGGATCATCCACTTGGCACTTCTGGCTGAAGACTGCTGCAAATGCTTTAGCCTTATCTTTTGCACTGATGTGCTGGGCTCTTCCATCATTGAGGATGGGGATATTTGTGCAGCCTCCTCCTCCTCCAGTGAGTTGTTTAATTGTCCACCACCATCCACGACTGGATGCGGCAGCACTGCAGAGCTTAGATCTGATCTGTTGGTTGTGGGAAATCGCTTAGCTCTGCCTATCACTTGCTGCTTTCGCTATTTGGCTTGCAAATAGTCCTGTTTGGTGGCTTCACCAGGTTGATACCTCATCTTCAGGTATGCCTGGTGCTGCTCCTGGCATGCCCTTCTGCACTCTTCATTGAACCAGGGTTGATCCCCTGGCTTGATGGTAATGGTCGAGTGGGGGATATACTGGGCCATGAGGTTACAGATTGTGCTGGAGTACAATTCTGCTGCTGTTGATGGCCCACAGCAACCTCACGGATGCCCAGTCATCAGTTGCTAGATCTGTACAAAGTCTGTTCCATTTAGCACAGAGCTAGTGCCACACAACATGATGGAGGGTATTCTCGATGTGAAGGAGGGGCTTCGTCTCCACAAGGACTGTGCAATGGTCACTCTTACCGATACTGTCATGGACAGATGCAATTGCAGCTGGCAGATTTGTAAGGATGAGGTCAAGTATGTTTTTCCTTCTTGTTGGTTCCCTCACCACCTGCTGCAGACCCAGTCTAGCAGCTATGTCCTGTAGGACCCAACCAGCTTGATCAGTAGTACTACTGCCAAGCCACTCTTGGTGGTGGACATTGGAAATCCCCCACCCAGAGTATATTTTGTGCCCTTGCCATCCTTGGTGCTTCCTCTCAGCTGAGGGAGGACGGTATGTGGTAATCAGCAGGAGGTTTCCTTGCCCATGTTTAACTTGAAGCCATGAGATGTCATGGGGTCCAGAGTCAATATCGAGGACTCTGACTGTTTTCCACTGTGCCGCCCCCTCTGCTGGGTCTGTTCCAGGGGTGGTGGTGGTGGTGGTGGTGTCTGGGGCATTGTTTGTCAGGTATGATTCTGTGAGTATGATTATGTCAGGCTGTTGCTTGACTAGTCTGTGAGACAGCTCTCCCAATTTTGGCACTAACCCCTAGATGTTGTTGAGGAGGACTTTGCAGGGTCGACAGGGCTGTTTCTGCCATTGTATTTTCCGGTGCCTAGGCCGATGCCAGGTGATCCGTCCAGTTCCATTCCTTTGAGTCTTTGTAGCGATTGGTACAACTGAGTGGCTTGCTAGGCCATTTCAGAGGGCAGTGGAGAGTCAACCACATTGCTGTGGGTCTGGAGTCACACATAGGCCAGACCAGGTGAGGGTGGCAGATTTCCTCCCCTGAAGGACATTAGTGAACCAGATGGGTTTTTCCGACAATTGGCGATGATTTCATGGTGATCAGATAATGCCAGACTTTTTTGTTTGAATTCCAATTCCACCATCTGCTGTGGTGGGATTCGAACCTGGGTCCCCAGAACATCAGCTGGGTTTCTGGATTACTAGTCTAGCGATAATACCACTAGGCCATCACCTACCCTATGAAGTTAGTTCCAGCATCTAAACAAAGCAGAAATAAGCGCAGTAGAAATGGTACTTGGATAGAAAGGTTAAAAATATAAAGTGCTGTTAACAGTAGCTGTGAGTATAAGAAAAGTTACTGATTTGAAAAGTAATGTGTAATGCTTATATGGAAGACATTAAAGGCAAAGGTCACAATAGGAAGATGATTGTGGAAACTAGCTAAAAAAGAAAGAACAAAAGGGCAAAACTTCTGGAGTTCAGTTGCAATGGCCAACGAACAGAAATGCAAAATACTGGAACAGCTTTCAGAATATTGAAAAATACACAAGTAAAGCTCATAAAAAAAAAATGCATAAAAACAGATCTTACTTTTTGATTTCATCCTCCACAGCACTGACACCATGTACTTGTGGATTAAGAATTTTGTGAGTCGCACTTCCAAAATCACACAGTACATAATTTCCATTATCATTTAACAAAATATTTTCAACCTAAAAAAGTTTAAAAACAAGAAAATATTACTATTACAAGAACACTATTTTTACATTGTTACATTATTATACTGTGACTATTGTCAGCATAAAATTACAAAAGGGATATTTATAGATTAGATGAATCAGCAAAACTGCAGCAGATGGGAGTTCAACGTAAGCAAGTGTGAGGTTATCTATTTCAGACTAAAAAACAAAGAACAGATTAGGATACTTTTCTAGATGGTAGGAAATTAAATACAGTGGATGTCCAAATACACTTGGGGTTTCAGATGCACAGGTTTATAAAATTCCACAAACTGGTGCAGAAAATAATCAAGGTGACTAATGCAATGCTGACCTTTGTAAGTAGGGGAGAATAGGGATACAGAAACTATGCTACAGTTATACAAAACTCTGGTTAGACCCTATTCGGAGTACTGAAACAGATATTTGGCCGTAGCAGGAATACTACAGAGGTTTACAAGCATGATACCTGGACTTCAGGGATTAAGTTATGAGGAGAGATTATACAAATTAGGCCTGTTTTCTCTGCAACATAGTAGGTTTAGAGATGATCTGATTGAAGTCTTCAAGGTATTAACAGGAAAAGACAGGGTATATACAAAATAAACTACTTCCACTGTTTGGAGATTCAAAAAATAGGATAGTCTAAAAATTAAGGCCAGACCACTCAAGAGAGATGTCAGGAAGCATTTCTACAGACACAAAGGTTTGGAACAATCTCCCACAAGTGTTGATACTAGATCTATTGTTACTTTTAAATCTGGGATAGATCATTTTTGTTAAGCGAAGTTAGAAAGGGGATTGGGGACAAAGGCAGGTATATGGAATTATGCCACAGATCAGCCTTAATCTCATTGAAAGGTGGAAGCAGTTCAAGGGGTTGAATGGCCTACTCCTGTTCCTACTTCAATAAATACAATTCACGGACAAACCAGCAAACCCAGCTCAATTCTCAAAGTGAATCTCGAAATTTAGCTGCCATGCAATATTGATTTTTCAAATGAAAACATCTTCAACTGTAATTCAGTGCAGGTCAACAGAATAATGAAGGGAGCAATATTCTCAATATTGCAATTAATGAGAATTTTGAATTACTGTAACATGTCCAACTCGCTATAGCATTGCAAAAATGTGCAGCACTTCACTGTGGTTCTTACCTTGAGATCTCTGTGAATAATTGGGGTTTTGCACTGATGTAGCCTTGCAACTGCCTCACAGGTATCACAGAAAATCTGCAGAACTTCTGTTTCAGCAAAACCTGTCTGCAGCCTCTGGTTCATTTGGTTCACCACTTGTCCCGCTGTCAAATAAATACATTAAGTAGTTTCTACTTGTGCAAAAGTTTCAATCTCAGAAAGGAAAGTCAATGATTCAAGATGTTTACACACTGATCATCATGTAAAATTTCTACACATTAAAGTCATAAGTCTTTAAAAAAAGCCCCCAATCCACACTCAATTCTAACACTTGAATGACAAAATGGAAAGTATTTAATTTCCAGTGCTGGCACACCTTATTTTACTGAGCACAAGCCTGCAATAAAAAGGTAGATTTTTGTTTAATAACATACCAACAGCTGTACTTTGGACAGAAAACATTACTTCGTCCTTTTTTTAAGTTTGAACAATACAATAAAAACAAGTCTTCATAACATTTCCCCTTGCGCTTTGCTAATCTCTCTGTCCAAATAATTATCAAAGGGGCAAAAGTAGACACTGTGCAGCTAGTGAAACCCGTACAATAGGGTGATTAAGTTTGTTTCACTGGGACACAGTAGGCGGGGGGGGGGGGGGGGGGTTTCAGCTGTGTCTTGCACACCTTAGATTATTTTTGAACCTTCACAGCCACTTCAGAACCAGGATCCTGAGTCTACACAGTTCTCTGACACAGATCCACCCAAAGTGCAGTCCTGACAACTTTTCACCTTTGAACATTCATTTTCAAAATGAAATAAAAATAAGTATCATTTATTTGCATTATTAATAACTGTCAAAAATTAAACAAAAATCCACGACATTCCAAGGCTAGTGGAGGCAATCTCCTACTCCAGTCACTGGATTTCTTAGGGGATATTCAGTTCAAAGGGCAACTAAGGTAATTAAGTAAAAATATAATGAAACCTACAGCATTTGTGCACGTCATAAAGCTATAAAAGGCAAAACATTTCACAGACACCTTAAAATAACACTTACCTCGGCAATATTCCATGAGAATAAGCACTTCCCAAACATTATCACCGACTGATGTAATGCTACAATCCAAATAACCAACAATATTTTTATGGCCCGAGAGCTCTTTCTAAAAGAAAGCATAACAGAGCTGGTTACAAAAAGATACAAGAGCTTATATTCGGGTTGTTAAACACTTATTGCAGTGCACAATGGCATACTTTAGTGGATTAACATACATCTATCTCAACTTAAGCTCAAATCGCATGTGTAATATTAAGCTGTGTTTCATCGACCCAGATTAAAGCTTTTCCATCCATAGGTGGTAGGTTCCTAGAATTTTCAGCCCAATTTTGTGCTGGAGGTGAAACCTTCAACTCATTTGTAAGGAACCTGGATCTGCAACTGAAACACTGCGCCCTGCAAAGCGAAGGACTAGTGCTAGTAAATGAGATTAGAACAGGCAGCTGGTACAGACGCAATAAACTGAATGACTGTTTCTGTACAGTAGCACAAGGTTCTAGGTTTAAGAAAAAAAGAGTAGTCGTCATTGTCCTACTATACCATAGGGTTGCTTTCTCATTACAGAGAGACACACAACTGTGGTGGTTTCACCTGATGGTCAGCATGCATTAGGCGGGGGAAGAGCTTAAGAAGGATAGTCCTTCATGGTAACCCCAGTCAGTGCAGGAATTGAACCACTGTTGTTGGCATCACTCTGCATCACAAACCAGCCAGCTAGCAAACTGAGCTAACTGACCCCTCGTCTAAGTTCTAGGAGGCATTTATTCAAAAACCTCAGGAGAAATGGGGCTAAATGTCTTTTATTTTGGTTAGCAAGAATTTAAATTGGCAGATGAATGGGAAATAACATTTAAAAGCAGAAAAATGGAAACAAAAAAAGTGCATAAACAAGTGAAGCGTTGGATAGTACTTCAAGCCATGATGAGTACGACCATACTAAATAGCAGAATAGGCTCAACATGCATACACAGTCTAATCCTGTTACTATTTCTTATGTTCTTAGAAAAAGAAGTAGTGCTATATTAGATGGAAGAAACTATGGACTGCAAGTAATTCAATAGGTTTATAATGCTTGTGTAAAAGCAAAGTGTGGTGAGAGCAAGGCTGCTGAACTACAAACTCAAATAGCCATGTGGGAATACGACAGTGACAATAAAAAGAAATGAGGCTGAAAAATAATAAGAATTGTGTGCTTAATGTTCAGAAGTACAAAGAGTGCAAAACAGGGAAGAATGAACATAGGGAGTATAACAGCACTCAAAAGAAATGTCTTGTAAAGAGAGAATGTCAAAGGGGTAAAAGGAAAACTAGCTTGATGACTTGTGGAGGTGCTGGTAGACAAGGTCAGAAGTCACACAAGACCAAGTTACAGTCCAACAGGTTTATTTTAAATTACAAGCTTTCAGAGCACTGCTCTTTTGTCATCTGACGAAGCTTGAGATTTCAAATAAACCTGTTGAGAGTATAATCCGGTGCGGTGTGACTTCTGACTTTAACTTGATGAGAGTTGAGAAGGAAAAAAAAGTGTAGGATCATGCCACTGGTAGCATGACATTGGTTTCCAAATTGCAATAAATGGGAGGTGATGCACTTGAGCAGGACAAACAAGGCAAAGGAATACACGATGAACAGTAGGACCATGGGAAGCACTGACGACCAGAGGTACCTCAGTGTGCATGTGTAGACAAGCATAGAGGTTAAGATTAAGGAGGCTATGCTGGAACTGTATAAAACGTTGGTTAGGCCACAGCTAGAATGTGGTGTGTAGTTCTGGAATCCACATTCTAAGAGGGATGTGATAGCACTGGAGAGGGCTCAAGGGAGATTTACCAGGATGTTGCCCAGGCTGAAGAGTTTCAGTAATGAATATATTCCTCAGAGCAGAGGATAATGAGGGAGCACATGATTGAGTTGTATAAATATTCTCCCAGATATCATTGCAAATCATATTTATTTACCCAAACAAGAATTTCCTTACCATAATCGTAACTTCTCTTTTACAGGTGTTCAAGTCATGGGCATCATTAACATACATGCGTTTTAGGGCACAACGTACTCCACTGACAGTTCGAGCCAAGAACACAATGGAGAATCCACCTATAACATTTTAAAATTAAGTTTTAATGTAACAAAGCAACTACTTCAAACAAAAAGCATCTCGTGAATTACACCCAGCTTACACATTTTTGATAACATCTATACAGGAGACTTGTAGTATTTTAATTGTTTCGCTCTCCAGTCAGGAAAATTTAATACAAGAATCCACTAGCCTCTTGCCCAGGTTTCTAGAGTGAGTAAAAACCTGACCTATGACACAAACAGGAGTGCCATAATTTTCCAGACAACTTTCAATCAGAAAAGATTTTGTTTTTAAATAGTAGCTTTAACATAAGATGTTCCAAGCTACTTCACAGGTGCATTATTGCATTAGGCCACAGAAATATCAGGTAGATTTGAAGGACTCTCTTAAAAATGAAAAATAGATGGAGGGATTACATGAGGAATTTGAGAATTTATGATGTCAGGAGGAAGGAATTCCTCAAGGTGGATATTTTCCCAAACAACCTCTGGAGCAGGTAGGGATTGAACTTGGGATTTGTGGCCCAGAGGTAGAGCCATTATCACCGCACCACAAATACTGCTAAGGTGCTCAGTGTAGTGTTCTAGGGTCAATCATCTTCAGCTGTTCTGTCAATGACCTTCCCTCCATCTTCAGGAGAGAACTGAAGATGTTTGTTGAAGATTGCACAGTGTTCAGCACCATTCGCAACTCCAGATACTGAAACAGGCCATGACCTTTACAATATCCAAGCTTAGGCTGACAAGTTGCAAGCAGAAAATAACATTCCTGCACACAAGGGCCAGGCAATGGCATCTCCAAAAAGGAAACTAACCATCATCCCTGGACATGCAATGGCATTACTATCACTGAATCCCCGTTATCAGAATCCTGGCGGCACCACTGAACAGAAACAGAACTAGACTTCCCATAGAAATACAGTAGCTAACAGAGCAGGTCAGAGACCAGGAAACCTGCTACAAATACTTCATCTCCTGACTCCCCAAAGCCTACCCACCATACACAAGGTGCAAGTCAGAAGTGTGATCAAATAGTCCCAATTTGCCTGGGTGAGTGCAGCTCCAATAAAAGATTGACACCATCCAGAACAAAACAGGCAACTCAACTACATCACATTCACAATAATTCACTCCCTCCACCACTGATGCACAGTAAAAGCAGTGTGTATCATGTACCAGATGCAGAAGAAATTCACCAAAGTTGTTTAAATAGCACCTTCCAAATCGATAACCACCACCCAGAAGGGCAAAGATAACAGGCACATGGAAGTATTCCCACCTGCAAATTCCCCTCCAAACTACTCATCATTCTGCCTTGGAAATATTTTGCCATTCCATCACTGTCACTGGGTCAAAATCCTGGAATTCCCTTCCAAAAGCATTGCTGGTGTATCTAAAACAATGGACTGCAGCAGTTCAAGAACGATCCCCACACCTTCTCCTTGGTGATTAGGGCTGGACAGCAAAGCCCATTTCCAAAGGAATAAAAAGTGGAAAAACACAACTTTGGAGTCTTTGCTCAACCTTTCGCTATAATCAATCAATGGCGATTCAATTCAAATTTGGAATGCTCAAGAAGCCAGAAGTAGGGAACATTTTTAGAAGTTTGCTTGGATGGTTTTCTTTCCGGGATGGACAATTTAAAAAGTATTTGTTTTTAAATTTACGACCATGGTCACATCACAGCCCTTCACATCATTCATGTGGAAGCTCATCGGTTTGAGACAATTGCTCATATGGAGGACGCATGTACAGGCTGGACCAAAGAACAATTTGAATTGAAATATTTATATAGTTCCTATGAAACAGTAACTTCTCCATGTTGATCACTCGGAGAACACATGATGGGAATTGAAATACTGTATGTACTTTTGGTAAGGAAATTTTAATGTGCACCAACAATGAGTCAGTCAGCCCTTTATTAATTGAACTGGCCAAGCCTTCAGCATAAGTGCTAGATTAGACATCCATCAGCTGGCAACGGAAAAATTCTAAGTTATTCTCCTCAGCTCAACTTCACAAATATACCCATCACACATGACCATCCATTAGCACTGGTAAGGGTCACCACCACAAATCCTCTTCTCTGCACAGTGGAGGTTTCCCATGCTGTAAAGTGTACTAAACAATCACTGCATGAAGTGAAACAGCCAGAAAAAAGAAACTAACCGTTCCAAAACTGGATCTCGGGATGAGGCACAGTACATCATAACAAATCAGGAAGTTGGGCCTAATATCCCTCCTTTTGCAAAGCTATCAAGCAACCAAACTTTTGGCATAGCATTCTTCAATGATGACAAGAGCACTATGCATACATTGTAATCTGATTCCAAGCTGACAAAACTACTGTACTGGATTACCCGAATACTTATGTTAAAAATCTCAATCTGTAGATAGACGTAGTAATCCTACATTCAGTGTATTAATCAATAACTAAGCAACAAGATAGTTTTATGAACAGCTGCAGCTTCAATCAGGTCAGAGCCTAGCTTCAGAGCAAGAGGCAAAGCTGAGTTGATTTTAGGTGTTTACAACTTGTTGCGCTAAGCAGGCAACTCTATAATCTTTGTTGGTGAAGTTGAGCTGAAGGAAATAACTGGAGATTGACACTAGATTCCAGTATCCTTGTCTCTTCATATGACATAGCAAATGCACTGGATACAATAATACAATAAAGACAACGGACCTCAACATAATCCTGGCAACTTAGCTAAAAGGCCTGTGCATCATTATCAGTAACCATGACTAAATGTCATCAACTCCCAAGTCAACTAGTTCGAATAGAAACACGACTCTCGCATCCAGCTGACTTAAAAGCCCACCAATGGGAGCGAAGGTGTCAAACAGAGCTATCAAGTAACACTTGCACAGTGATAACCCTGGGTACTGTCAGGTTCCAGACCTCATTATGGCCTTGGCCCCAATGGGCAAGAGATGCGAATGCCAGAGGTGAGGTGAGATAGTCAAATACTGCCTTAATGTTAAAGGACTAAGTGTAGAATCATGCATACTACCAAAATTCAATGTCAATGGGAACCAAAGGTAAGCTCACTACTGGATGAAGTCATACCTAGCAAAAGGTAGATGGCTGTAGTTGTTGGAGACCTATCATCTATCATCTCAGCTCCAGACCATTGTTGCACGAGATCTTCAAGTTAGTGTCCTACATTAAACTATATTCTGCTGCTTCAACAATGGCCTTCTCTCCAGCACATGGTCAGATTCAGTACCATTCACAACTCCTTAGATGCTGAAGAATTTTGTATCTTCATGAAGCACGATATGGAAAATATTGTGACTTGGACTGATGACTGGAAAGTGACAGTGACGTTCACAGCACACAAGTCCCAGGCAGAAACTTTCCCCAGAGAACCTAACCATCTCTTCTTGATATTCAATGGCATTACCAACTCTGAATCACTCAACATCAACATCTTGGAGTGACACTGACCAGAACAACTGGCTATAATTGCAGATAAAAAAGTAGAATAGAGGCTAAAAATCCTACAGCATGTAACTCTTCTCCTGAATCCCCAATGCCTGTCTGCCATCTACAAAGCATAAGTCAAGAGCGTGATGAAACACTGGTTATAAGTCTGTAAGCTAAGAAAAAAGATCAAAGGTTAATCACACAGTTGAACTGACCGGCCTTTTTCAATGCTGTACAGTTATGTAAATCATGGAAGTATTTCCTAACCAACTGTTCAGAGCTTTATCGCACACTGCTGGAGCAGTTGGGACTTGAACCAGGCCCTCCTGATCCAGGGGAAGAGACACTACCACTGAGTCACAGCAGCCCACTATGTATTTTCTTTAAATCAACCTGTTCAAATAATTTATGACACACCTCTTCGACTTGAACCCAGGCTTACCTAGCTCAGAGCTGGGGCACTACCAATGCACCACAATGACCTGTTATATAATCACATACCCTCTTCAATTGCCTGGCAAAGTGAAGCTTCAGCAATGAAAAACTCAAAAGTATTCAAAACAAAATCAGCCCATTTGATCAGTATACCATCCATCACAGCTGCACAATGACAGTTATGCGTGACAATTGCAAAATACACTGCAACAACTGTCAAGCTACTTCAACAGCATTTTCCAAACTTGCAACACCAACCATCTCGAAAAACAAGTGCATCAGGCGCATGAATCATCACCAAGTTCCTCTTCAAGTCACTCACCAACCTTACATGGAAAATTAACACTGCTCCTTCACTGCTGAGAAGTCAAAATTATGGAACTCAGTTTTTAACAGCACTAAAAGTATACCCATACCACACAAAGTGGGGCAGTTCAAGGCTTCACGACATCCTCTCGGGGAATTGTTGTTGGGCAATAAATGTTGATCTTTCCAGAATACCCACTTTCAAAAAACATAACTGAACAGTGCTTTTTAAAAAAAAAACCATGAAACAGAATAAATCCAACTTGCTTGTATATCATTCCAATTGCCACCAATTATCTCAGGTGATGGCAGGAGTCATAATAGTCAACAGCACAAGTAATATGTATTCACCAATAATTTGTTTCCCACTTTGGATTCTACCAGAATGACTAGGGTCCAAATTTCAGAGGTTCATCCAGGTATGGAGGCACTTCAAAATGTAACACTCTTATGGGGGTTGGCTTAAATTCTGTGCTCAAGTCTCCAGAATAGAATTTACCTTACTGACATTGGCGTTGGATTTAATTTTCCACACGATTTAAAAAAAAAAGATTTTCTTCGGCTCATGTTAACAAAAGAAAAGCACTAGCAGCAGCACTAAGTAGTCCAGTGCCCTAAGCCGGCTTTGGCATTCAATAAGATTGTGAATGACTTATTACCTCAATTCCACTTACTTACCCAATGCCCAATCTCTCAATTCCCCTCAAGTCCAAAATTCTCAACCTTTAAGTTACTCACATGAGGAGCAGGAAGCATTCAAAATATTTAAACCATGAAAAGAAACAAACATTCTTAACTCAGTCTTAAAAGGCTGGGTATCATTGTCTTTCAGTCTTTTTTTTAAATTCACTTGTGGAACGTGGATGATATAGACTGGTCAGCATTTATTGGGTGTCCCTATTTGCCCTTGAGAAGGTGTGGTGAACTGTCTTCTTGAACCACTGCAGTCCACATGCTGTCAATTAACCCTCAATGTCCTCTGGCAGAGAATTCCGGGATTTTGTCCCAGCGACAGTAAAAGGGACAGCGGTATAGTTCTAATCCAGGATTGTAAATGGCTTAGAGGGAACCTTGCAGATGGTGTTGTTCCCAGGCATCTGCTCACCTTGTCCTTCTAGGAAATGGGTTTGGAAAGTGCTCTGTAAGGAGTAGTAGTGAATCTAAACTCTCCAAACAAGTGGTTAGCACTGTTAGCTCACAGCGCCTGGAATGCATGTTCGATTCTAACCCTCAGAATGTGTGCCAACTCCACACATTCTCCCTGTGTCTGCGTGGGTTTCCTCCAGGTGTTCTGGTTACCGCCCACAGTCCAATGATGGGCAGGTTATGTGGATTGTTATGAGAAATGTGGGGTTACGGGGATACGGGAGGGGGTTGGGTCTGGGTGGAATGCTCTTCGGAGGGTCAGTGTGGACTCAATGAGCCGAGGGCCTGCTTCCACACTGTAGGGATTCTATGATTCTAAACTAGGGGAAATAACCTCTCAGCACCCATGCTATCAAGCCCCCTCAGACTCAATTTAAGGGGATCGTCTCTCACTCCTCTAAATTCCAAGGTTAATATACTCAGCTTTTCATCATAGGATATCATTCTCAACCCAGAAATAAATTGTGAAACTCTGACCCACCTCAAACGCAGCTTATCCTTCAATAGATAAGGAGACCACAACTACTTAAAACTCCATGTGAATTCACCAAAGCCCTGTACTGTTGTCAAAAGATATCTTTATTCTAAGGTAATTGAAGTAAAAGACTAAAGGCCATCATAGCGTTGCCTTTCTAAAATGAAAGATGTGCGTGAATGATAACTTGGTACTTCTCATATGCCATCCAAACATATTCTGCTTTCCTACTCTTCTTATTGAAGTAAATAACCTTAAATTCCCCCATATTATACCACATTAGGGAAGGTGATGGCCTAGTGGTATTAATCGCTGGACTGATAATCTAGAGACCCAGATAACGTTCTGCGGACCCGGGTTCGAATCCCACCATGGCAGATGGTGGAATTTGAATTCAATAAAATATCTGGAATTAAGCCTAATGATGGCTGTGAATCCATTGTCGATTGTTGGGAAAAACCTATCTGGTTCACTAATGTCCTTTACGGAAGGAAACTGCCGTCCTTACCTGGTCTGGCCTACATGTGACTCCAGACCCACAGCAATGTGGTTGACTCTTAACTGGCCTCTGGGCAATTGGGGATGGGGAATAAATGCTGCCTAGCCAGCGACACCCTCATCCCTTGAATGAATAAAGGAATAAAAGGACATCAGATACATGTTATTAACCTATCCATATTCATTTGCAGCCTCTGTACCTGCCTTGAACTGGCATTCTAACTAACTTTACACTGTCCTTAGTCTCTGCCTCTTCATACAAATCGATGATGTAGATTATAAATTGCCAAGAACCGAGCTTGTACTTCGAAGATAGGAAGAACTGCAGATGCTGGGGTCAGAGTCAGTGCAGGATGGAGGTGGAGGAACACAGCAGGTCAAGCGGCATCAGAGCAAGAAAGTCATCGTTTCGGGTTTAGACCCTTCATCAGGACTTGAAGGGGTGGGGGTTGGACGGGGAGCTCGGAAATAGAGGGGGGTTGGGGTTGGGGTTGGGGCTGGCGAAAGGCAGGTGGGATAGTGATAAAAGTGGATGCAGTGAGCGGGTTGTGGAGATAGGTCATGGGAACGGTGGGGCGGATAGGTGAGAAAGAAGATGGACAGGTTGTGTCAGGTCAAGGAGGCAGGGATGAGAGGCAGGGATGAGAGGGAGGGCTGGACATACAATGAGGCTGGGGGTGGGGAGATTTTGAAACTGGTGAATTCTATGTTGAAGCCATTGGGCTGTAAGTTCCCAAGGCGGAATGAGGTGTTGTTCCTCCAGTTTACGTGTGACATCATTGTGGCACTGGAGGAGAACCAAAATGGACATGTCACCAAGGGAGTGGGAGGGGATGTTCAAATGACTGAGAATCAGAAGGTGCTGTTGATTATAGCCTAGAGTGCAGATGTTCTGTGAATCGGTCACCGAGCCTTCGCTTGGTCTCTTCGATGTAGAGGAGACCACAAATGGATAGCGTAGACCAGGTTGGACATACAGGTGAATCCCTGTCGGATTTGGAAGGATTATTTGGGGCCTTGGACGGAGTTGAGAGGGGAGGTATAGGGGCAAGTATAGCACCTCCTGCAGGGAATTGTGGCAGGTGTGGTGGCGTTGTTGGGGAGCATGGAGCGGACGAGTGTCGCAGAGTGAGCGGTCTCTACGGAAGGCAGATAGGGCTGGGGAGGGAAATCTCTCTTTGGTGGTGGGGTCAGATTGCAGGTGGTGAAAGTGGTGGAGGTTGATGAGCTGGATGCAGTGGGGTGGTATGTGAGGACCAGACGGACATCCCCCTCCCCAGTCCTGAGTCTATCAGGACTATCCTTATGACTACCCTATTAGTTACGGCTTTAACAAACTAATTTATCAAACACTATTGCACTTTGGTAGAATCATGGTCATTTTGAATGATGATACTATGATTTGAGGGTTTCATTAAGACATGCATTCTCAATAGATTTGAGCACTTCCCCAATGACTCATGTTAGGCAAATTAGCCTTTGGTTCCCCGTTTGCTTTCTTCTCTCCCTTCTTGAAATGTTTTCTATTTGCCAATTTCCAATCTGCTAGGACCATTCTAGAATCCGAAGAATTTTAGAAAACTATAATCAGTGCATCCTCTCATCTTTGTGGTTAACTCTTTTAGAATTGGATATGGATCACCTGGTCCTGGGAAATCAGATTTCAGTCTATTGCATTTCTCCTATATTTTGTTCCTGCTGAAATTGATTATCTTTGGCTCCCTACTTGTATTTATCTATTAGATTACCTTCCATTTCTGCTATGAAACTACACCTTTGCTGTGAAGGCAGACAAAACATTCATCAATGCCTCTTTCATTTCCTCAAGC